GAATAAAAACTGGACTACTAGATGATAGTGTACCAGCATACGACGATGATACAGAAGGTGCCGTAGACACTAGAAGAATTGAAGACAATCGCTTTGAAAGTTATTGACATAAAAAACTGAGAAAGATTGTCTTCTGAGTTAATAGATAAAAGAAACTAGAGAAAGAAATACTGTGATCTGAGTTTTCAAAGTAGAATCGACAACATATATTTCACTCGCAGAGAAAGTATTAGTAAGAAACTCACGTGTTACAATTGGCCGACTTGTTGATGGTGTGATCGACATAAGACCGACAGAGGCTGGTCCAATAGCAGAGATTGAGAAACTTGCTGTTTCATAATCTGAATGTGTTGTAACTACGAGAATATATGTTCGTCCGGCTTGGAGATAAACGTCGATATGAAACTGGAACAAATCGTCACCAGAATCATCATCATCGGTAATTAAATTGACCAATGGATTTGACGGATCGAAGGGAGTATCGTAAAAGTAGCCCATAGTATCCATGATACTGTTGCTTGTGAAAATGTAATCACCAGTTGTGGAAACGGTGACCTGTATTGCCTGAAAATAGTAGTTACCGTCGGTGTCACCGTAAGGTCGATAAAATACTGGACTGGTGGATGATAATGCACCCGCATATGACGATGACACAGAAGATGCCGTAGATACTAGAAGAATCAAAGGCAATCGCTTCGAAAGTGATTGGCATAAGAAAATAAGGAGATTTGTCCTCTTAGTGGGTACATAAAAGAAACTAGTGACAGAAATTCCATGATTCGAGATTTCAAAGCAGAATTGACAACATATCTTTTACTCACAGGAAAAGTATGAGTGAGGAACTCACTTGTTGTTATTGGCTGACTCGTAGATGGAGTGATTGATATAAGACCGGCAGAGGCAGGCCCAGTAGCAGAGACTGAGAAACTTCCTGTTTCAGAGTCGTCATGCGTTGTAACCACGAGAATATACGTTCGTCCATTTTGAAGGTAAGCTTGGATAAGAAACTGACGGGAACCGCCACCATCGTCGTTATCAGTGATCAAATTCATCATTGGATTGGATGGATCAAAGGAAGTATCGTAAAAATAGCCTCTACTGTCGATGGCACTGGTGCTTGTGAAAGTGTACATGCCAGCCACCGATGTAGTAACCTGGATAGCCTGGAAGTAGTAGTAACCATCTGAGAAACTATTAGGTCGATAGAATATTGGACTGCTGGATGACAGTGCACCCGCAAAGGATGATGACATTGGCGGTGCAGTAGATACTAGAAGAATCGAACACAATCACTTTGAAAGAGATTAACATAAAACAAGAGAAGAGTTGCCTTCTTAGTGGATATGGAAAAGAAACTAGAGAATGAAGTTTCATGGTTGAAGCTTTCGAATTGAAACAGACAAGGTATTAATGAAAAACTCACATGTTATTATTGGTTGACTTGTTGATGGAGTGATGGACGTAAGACCGACGGAGCCGGGTCCATCAGCGGAGACTGAGAAACTTCCTATTTCGGAGCTGATATGAGTTGTAACCACAAGAATATACGTTTGTCCCATTTGAAGGTAACCTTGGATACGAAACTGGTGGGAGCCGCCACTATCGTCGTCGCTGGTGATCAAATTAATCAATGGATTGGATGGATCGAAGGAAGTTTCGTAAAAATAGCCCCTAGTATCGATATTACTATTGCTTGTCAAATTGTAAGTGCCAGATGTGGATGTGGTGATTTGTATAGCCTGAAAGTAGTAGTCAGCGTCTGTATTGCCAGCGGGTCGATGAAATGTTTGACTACTGGACGATAGTGCGCCCGAGTACACCGACGTAGCACGAAGTGTATTGGAAGCTGTTAAGCGAGAGATAGCTATTGTTATAGAATATTACACAATTTTATCAAGAGATCTCTGTTGTTATTCTTTACTGCTTGAGTAAGTGCACCAGAGTCTGAACGGTGATATAAATTTACTTCACTCGAGGCGACATCTCATAGTTGTGAAACATTATAGGTAATGAGCGTGAAAGTATACACTGAGAAAAGTTAACCCACTATTCATCATGCTGCCTCAAAGAATGTAGCAAACAGAGGGTATACTATTGTAGATTTTCGAATCATGATAATATGGATGGTGGAACCATTCTGTTATAGATTTTGTCAAGTACAAACAATAACAAGTGTCGAAATATATTGAAACTGAAGTAAACCTCCATGGTGCTCTGGATAAGTTGATAATGATTGGCGTGACTACCTGTAGAGTCCTGCTTTGGTTCAACTTTTCGAACCCGTATCCGACTCGACAATTTATTTAAAATCCGAGCCTGGTTCGACCCGAAAAATAAAATTCATTTGTTGTCAACAATGTATCACCTTATTTCAATGTTTAACATATAAAAGAACACAGAATTTATGAAAATAACAAACGCTCATGAAAACCTGTGCGGATGCATGTGCGCGGTATGAGAAGAGACACATTCACACCTTCTGAACTCATTTATGAACGACGACAACAACAAAAATATTAAAATATGAAAAAGGGGTATTCTTTTTATGGACAAAGAAATTTCGCAGGCATTCTTTCGAAACACGAGTTTCGCAGTACTGACATAAATTTTGGCAATTGCCGAAAGCCCATAGCGAAAGGGAGTGCTGCAATATTATGATAGTTTGTGTATATTGCCGCTACCACAAATCAATAGATTATTATTTCAGTCGACTTTGTATATAACATGGAAAAAAATTGAGAAGAGGAACATATATTATGAAAAAACAGAAGCAAATAAAAACCTGACAAATTTTTAAATCAAACTCGAGCTCCAACATACCCACGAGTCGGGCTGTAGAATTCTAACCACTTGTAACGATTTTTACAGGTCCCTATGTGAAGCCCACCGTTTTTCTAGACTTGAAGTATTTTGAGACTGTCCACCACGGATTGTGTTTGTTTCAAGAGATGTTCCGCTTGTCTGTCAGTGTATAGCTCTTCAGGTTGGAGGCAGGGTGAATTTTGACGTGCTATTCTTTGATCTCTGAGACTTCTCGAACAGTGATAGGTCGATTTCTCAGTCCTATTGATAGTGGTTTCATTGTTTGTATCCCCGTAGGGATAACATTGAAAGTTGCTTTTCTTCCAAGGGAAAGTAAACCCCCTCCCAGAATAAAAAGGCATGCCCTCCTATTATGTCCCAATGAATCGGTCTTTTTTGGATGACGTTCTATTATGTCTTATCGGAAATTTTTCACATTTTTGCTTGAAATTGATATGGCGTTGTATTATGTCCAGATAATCAACCGGTCCTGGGTGGCCTTCTATTCCGGGTGCCTTTCTATTATAGGGTGACGTTCAATTCTGGAGGGGGGTTTAACACAATTCGTTTTAGTGTAGGCTATAGGTCTTTCGTTTAGAGATCTTTTACAATCCGTATGGTTCTACTTGATGGGCAATTCACGTGTCCGATCTCTGATCAGATTTCTGCTAAGAGGCTGGCCTTTCTCTGATCTTTTCGACAATTACCCATTCCAGCTGAGAAAATATGAGTGAGTAGCGATTTCGACGACTTCGGATTGCATAAATGCAGGACGGTGATCAGATCAGAGATGTCCAAGAGATCGTAACAATCAACGTCGTTTTGGCCTGTTAGACTAGAATCGGGTCAAGTGTTACGGCTTCATTGGAAACTCTGAAACATATGTGCGCAACACATCACAGTATCGAGGTCGCTGTTGATGTTCTGTACCTCAATAATAACGAGGTAGATCCATCTTTATTTTCTATTATTTTAGTGTTTAAATCTAGTCCTTCAAGTGCATAATCAATATTACAGTTGTAGGTGCAAGGAGAAAACAGCGGACGTCTTTTCTGTGGAGCCTGCTAAAGTCTCTAACTATTTTAACAGAGAACAGCATACTTAGACTAGAAATCTACATTGATATCTATCTGTCATCAGTCTTGATAGAGATTTTATTCGAATTGTAAAAACAGTTTTAAATCACGAGGTGATTGTAAAGTTAAAAGATTTATGAAAAAAGTCTACTGTCTTCTGAAAACTTCTACATGTTTCATTGCTTTTATGAACATTTTTTGAAAATCTCAGTTTTATCATTAATGTATAGGTAAATGGATAATCATGTATGAACAGAGAAAAGAAAAGCAAAAACTTAATTCGAAATGTATTTCCAGGTGAACCGCGATGGCACTAGCCTTTGGAAATTGAAAACATTTAACTTGAGTTCTAGTAAAAAGAAAGTCTCAGTTAGTGAATATATAGCATTAACTATTACTTGATAATAAATAATAATGATTGATAAAGTGTCGATATATTTAGCCTCTTCCGTCTAATCTCACGTCGACATCGATATCGACACTCGCGCTTACACTCCCCACTCTAGGTCAACGTCTAGGTAAGAGTGCCATACTTTTTCTACTTACTGGCTTTTCCACTAGAAACTGATCTTGATCGACTGTTAGAGTGAATGTTCACACCAGTGGGACCAGACGAAACAATTGAGAATTTCCCAGTGACTTCCGGAGTAAATGTTGTGGCAACCAGAATGTATTTGTGCTCAGGATGGAGCAAAGCAGTAATTTTGAACTGCCCTTTGCCATTACTGTCATCATCTTGTGATATCAAGTTCAGAGTAGGATTGTTGGAGTCGAAATTATCGTCGTAGATGTAACCATAAGTATTGATGGAACTTCTACTAATGAACGTGTAAGTACCCATCATTGAAACACTGAATTCCATAACTTGATAGTAATAATATTTTTCCAATTGATTTGGATCACGAGAAAACTTTGGACTCTCCACAGTCCAAGCATCGGAATAAACCGTCGTAACATGGTCTTGAGAAGCTATTATCGGCGACGCAGTCGATTCTAAAATGAGTAGAACATATCGACAATGTTCACTTTTTTGATTCGAAAGTTAGTATTTAAAAACATCGAGAATCGTATTGTTTGCTGAAAACTTATGAATTTCAACGAAATGGCCTTCATAAAACCAAGGAGGAAAAAGCGGATCCTGGATCCTTTAGATCCTAATGGATCCTGGTGGATCCTCGTGGATCCTCATAGATCCTGATAAATCCTGGTGGATCCTGATGGATCCTGATTGATCCTGATGGATCCTAGAATGGATCCTCATGGATCCTAGGATCTGCTTTTTCCCCCTTGCATAAAACATCTGTAGTAGAAGTCCTACTCATAGTTCTTGAACATAATCTGTTGTTCTAAGCTCAAAAAGTCTTCGATAGGCCTTTTCATTGTCCATCTAGTGTTTATTTACATTGATGAGGACTGTAAGAGTTTTAGATCGAAGGAACTGGTTCACAGTTGTTTGTTATTTGGTCTATCAATCACGGTTTTTAAGAACTCAGACAGGTGGATCAGCTAAAATCCCAGTAACTGAAACTTGCGAATGCGATCGACTTATTGTGACGACAACTAGTGAACTAGCTCAGTTTTCTAGAAATGGAATAGGTCAACCAATTCCTAGATCTGAATTGATACGAACCTACTACAGTCTTAGATTCGGTTCTGTGTTTACCTTCTGAAGGCACAAATAAATTGTAAACAATAGATGTTATATGATATCAGTAGCGTCAAGTCAGAAAGTTGAATTCAATTATTGAAGCTTCATTCAACTCATTAAGTATTCAAATATTCAAATATGAACTATTAAAATCTTCAACTATTCGACTGACTCGAGATCACTAGTTCGTGATGCCTTGATTCTTTATCATGCCTACCGACTAGTAGTATCCCGAGATTAGCTGAATACTTCAATACCTAAATATCTGAGTGGTTGAAGACCTGAAGTGTTGATTTTTAAATTTCAGATATTCAATAATTCAAATTCCAAATCAAACTTCACATGTATAGATCATAACTTTCTACTAACCAGTAAAAGAAAAAATGTTGTTTTTTTGTATAGTATCCTGCCGCACCTGAATGCAGAAGACTTGCACTAACTAAGGATCAGGAAAGATGAATGGATGGGTGGAGATATAAATATGTCTGGAGGAGAGCTCGACTTTGAATATGAAGGTGGTGGTATAGACAAAAACCTTTTAGTATAACCTATACGAGATTTAAATAAGAAACAAGATGGAGTCACTTTAATAGTAACGTGGCCCTGCAACAGTATCTATCACAGTATTGCTAGAGACCAAACATCAGTAGGCAAAAAAAACTCTTGAGACTGTCACAAACTATGACAGATATACTGAAAGCCCCTCAAAATGTCTGTTGTGATTTGGATGATGATCCTATGGAGATGAGAGTTCATTTTTCTCGCTATACATTGCAACACACATTTCTAATCATGTTTTACAAAATATTTATTGGAGTGCAGAAATCTTTTTATAGAGGGGACATACGGGAGTAGAGGTATAAACCGAAGGGTCAAACAGCGGCAGTGGTTTTAATTAGGGATGCACCAGTCTCAGTTCTGACTGGTGAACTGGGTACTGAGTCCTTTGATCTTTAGCCCATTAGTCGAGTAGTACTTTCTTCTTTTCTAGTATATTGTCATACAGTGATTCTTAGGCTGCTGAAGTACTGAT